CGATAGGGCTCCACATGTCCAAGCATGAGGCAGCCATGGCCAGATACCATCTCTTCCTCTGGGAAATGATGGGGTCCATGGCACAGCATCTACCAGCTGAACTATGTGATGCTGTACATCTATTCCATGTAGAGGCTGAAAATCTGCCCAGATACTAGCTCAAGGCAGCAAGGGACCTCCCTCAGGGTCTGCTTGACCACTGTTTCACACTTTCACTCCCCATCCAAGTATGTTCAGTTTTTGCACACCCCGTGGCACACAGGTTCCTCTGTGGCCTCCAGAACATTGCTCTACCAGTTCACCAATGCACACCATCATGGAGCCTCTTGTTTGTTCTGCGGGCCTTCACGAAGTGGCTCTTTGAACCCATGATGACAACTGACATGTGCCTCCTGTCATGGAATATGGCCTTTCTTGTCTCGTTCATCTGCACCTGCCACATCACTGATTTGTCCACTGTATGGATCAATATCCCCCTACCTCAATGTTTACAAGGACAAAGGAGGTCCTCTGCCAGGACCCACAATTTAGACCCAAGGTCACTTCCTCCTTCCACATCAATCCGGACTCCTCCCAGCTTTCTTCCTGAACCCCCATCAAGGCCTCGCTGCACCTGCCAAATGTCCTTGGGGTCCTTGCTTTCTACAAGTCGGCACAGAACAGCTCCAGCACGCAAACTGCCTCTTCGTCTGCTTCGGCAGCCAGAGCAAAGGGGGCCCCGTCTCGCCCCAGAGACTCCAAGTGGGTCTCCAGCACCATCTTCCTGGCATACAAGATGGCAGGACTCGATCTTCATGCATGCACTCATGCACCTTTCACATTCACACCTCTACTGCTCTCCCAGTTCTCCTCAGCAAAGCTGCTACGTGGTCCATACTGTCGACCTTCTGGCACGACAGGCTTGACATCTGCATGAGACAGGACTGTGCCTTTGGCTGGGCAGTCCTCTCAGCTGTCCTGTGATGATGAAAGTCCCACAATCCACAAAGGATGAACTTGCTAATCGCCTGCATGGGTGTTGCACAGAGACCATGACAAAAAAAGCAGGCTGCTTACCTGTAACTCTCATTCTTTGAGTGGTCATCCATGCATTCACACAACCCACCCTCTGCCCAGCTGGCTGCCATCAGACTGCCACACCTCTCCCCCCACCACTACATGGGGCTTGGGTTACAGAGGGTACCAGTACCTCTGCCTTCAGATGTCTGAAGACGATGCAGTCTCCAAGGCAACTGAGGCAGTGGGAGGGGTCCCCCTTCTTATTCTAAGATACAGAAGGGGGGCTTCCACCTCATGAGGTGAGCTATGGAAGTTTCTCTCCAATCCTGGCCTTGCACTCCATGGCAAAGCCCATATGTGTGAATGCACAGATGACCACTCAACAAATGACAGTTGCAGGTAAGCAACCTGCATCTCATCCTGTTTGTCTCTTAAACTGGACAAACAAGCTCTTACCACTACAGAGCATAAGCATTTTGGACATAGTCCTTCGATGTGTTCTTTCAGGCTTTTTTAGAGCCATGATGTAAGCTGCTGATGCAGCTGACTTCTGTTTCTAGGCTAAGCTAGGTGATGGGGCCACCATTTTTAGGTAACAGTAATAGGTCCCTTATCATTGAATGAAGTAATGTGAGTATATGGTGGACTTACGCTTTAATTTCTTGTTGAAGAATCTATTTTATTTATTCATTTGAGGAATTTATACCCTGCCCTCCAAGAACATTCCCATTTTAAAGTGCACTAAAATAAATGTAAAACATACAAATTAAATGTAACATCACTAGAAGTAGCACGAAGTCATGACACTCAGTCTTGATAAAAGTAATCAGACTGAATTAAAAGACCTCAAGGAGAAAAAGTCTTAGCTTAGTGCCAAAACAGCATCATTTTGGGAAGAACATTTCATAATTACAGTGCCTTTTTCTGCAAGTCATCATACCATGGATGGTAAAAATACTGAGAAAGGTACTCTGAGTATCTTAGAGTGCAAACCAGTGTGTGTGGAGACCTGCTGGCCTCCATTTTTGAGGCCTTGTGCAGAACAGGTGAAGTTCCAGAGGACTGGAGGGTGGCGTCAGTGGTCCCAATAGTAGAAGGGACATAGGGAATTACAGACAGATTAGGCTTATGTCCATTGTAGGAAAGAATGGAAGGGTTCATAATAGCAAGAGATCTAGTAACCCTAGACAGAGAAGGGAGGTTAGTGGCCACACAACATGGCTTCCACAAAAAAGGTCCTGCCAGACAAACCTTGTGGAATTCTATGACAAGGTTTCAAGGTGCCTAGATGGAGGGGATGCAGTGGATGTGGTTTACCTGGATTTCAGCAAGGGACAAAGTGCTGCATGATATCCTGGTTGAGAAATTGAGGAGTTTTGGCATAGACCAATGCACTGTCCAATGGATTAGAGCATGGTTGACAAACTGAAAGCAGAGGGTAACTATTAGTGGGGAATCATCAGGATGGCAGCCAGTGATGAGTGGGATCCCCCAGAGCTTTGTCCTGAGACCAGTGACGATACTAAAATGGCAGTGGCCACAACTGAGGAGCAGGTACCCCAGATCTAGAAGGATCTGGACAGACTATGGAAGCGGGCAGGGGACAGCAGGGTGATGTTCAATGTGGTTAAGTGCAAGGTTTTGCATCTGGGGCATAGGAATGGGTGTCATAAGTACAAGTTAGGGACAAGTGACTGGAGAGCAGCACTTGTAAAAAGGATCTTGGGGTACTGGTTGACTGTAGGCTAAACATGAGTCAGCAGTGTGACAGGGTGGTCAAGAGGGTGAACGCCAACCTTGGATGTATAGCCAGAAACTTGGCTTCTAGATCAAGAGCGGTATTACTACCACTCTATATGACTCTGGTGTGTGCACAACTGGAGTACTGTGTTCAGTTCTGGCTCCACATTACACGAAGGATATAGCCAGGTTAGAGTCAGTGCAGCTCCCACAAGGATGGGAGCCGTGTTGCAGGGAATGCCGTATGAGGTGAGACTGAGGGAACTGGGTCTTTTCAGCCTGGAGAAGAGGAGACTCTGAGGGGATCTGTTGGTGTCATAGAGGTATGTGAGGGGGTGTCACATGGAGGTGGGTAGAGCCTTGTTCTCCCCTGCAGAGGAGGGCAGGACATGCCCCAGTGGAGCCAAGCTCAGAGAACCAATGTTCAATTTGGATGCCAGGAAGTACTTCCTGACAGTTAGGACCCCAAGGATATGGAATGGGCTTCCATGGGAGGTGGTTGAAGCCCCTAGTGAGGGTGCTCAAGGATAGACTGGGCATGCATATGGTAGGCATGTTATGGAGCCAGCTGGAGCCAGGGGTTGGACTAGATGGCCTGGGAGGCCCCTTCTGATTTGTGCTGTTTCTATGTTTCTAACCGAGTCTTAGTTTTTGCCTCCTAGAGTAAATGACAGATTAAACTTGCTAAATGCCACACTACTGCCTTCCTAAGACATGGAATTACAATACCCTAACCCTCCTTGATGTCAGACATATTGATGTTTTGTTAGTCTCAAATCCTTCTGCAGCTCCAAATCCATAGCAGCTTGGATTTTGCTGGGGCATTGTATCCTATTAGCAATGAAGCCACAACACAATTAGAATCCACAACACTGACTCAGAATGCAAAAAATATTGAGGACCTCAATTTCATTAACAAAGGATTGTTTTGTGAGACAACTAACAATATCCTTATTATGGAGTAAAAACTGCATGACAGCTTCTAAAATGGGAGATCACCCAACCTACATCATAAATACAGACACGTTCTAGCACTGATTCATCTTTGAGCATGCAGCACTCTAATCCCCTTTAATTTTAGGGTCTATCCTAGTCAGGCAAGAAATCCCATCAAAGGTACAAGATTCTTAAGGGTTTCGTGGAGTCATCATTATTACTTGGAAGCTCAGGTGGCCTTGGTGGCACAGAGTGCCTCCTACTAGCTTTGACTGGTGACCCAGCTATATCCCTATCTGGACAGGAATATTTTGATTTCAGTAGTCCAGTTTATTTTTAAACCTACGTGGCACTACCTTGAAGTTTAGAAACTACACCTTGTGCAAAACATAGCAGCCAAATTAATAGTGAGGACACAGAGTCTATGGCCAGCCCAGCCCCTGCACGGCCCCGCACGGTCCCTAATGGTGTCAACGCCCTTAGGCTGTCGCCCTTTGGCCCACGGCCCGGCCGCGGCTGGCGAGCTAATGCCACAGCCCCTCCCCACGCCCAGCCCCCAATCCGGCGCAGCTGCCACCCACACTGGGCGGGGAGGGGCAGGAGAAGGGCTCGCGGAGCACTCGCCGGCAGAGTGGAGGGCCCACAGGTTGGCAGCATCCTGGTTCCCGGTCCCGCGGTGGCCATTGTCCATCCTTCGGGACAGCGGCGGTGTCAGCAGGCGGGTCGGGTCCGTGGTCTGCAGCGGCGGCGGTGTTGCACGGGTGGTGTTTGACTGCACAGAGACCATGAATTAAAAAGACATTAAGTCGCTTTCTTAAAGCTGAAGATGTGTTAACTGGATTGCTCTTTAGTTGTGTCAACAACTCTGTTACTTCAGAGATTTTTTTAACCCTATCCAATGGCATTAAGTCCTTAGCTCACTGCATACTCCACCTGGGAAAGGCACCAAGCCCACATCCATTACTTTAACTCTCTCTAAAGGGGGTTGTGACTGCTGCCTCATCCCCCTCAATTGTCAGGGCTTGCCACCTCTTCTTCCATCCATTTCCTCTCTTGTGTGCTCCCTGTCCCTGCCCACAAGGCTCCAGTACTGTCTTCAGTTCAACTCAGTTCATCTGATGACTTCTACTGTTAAATGACCTTTCATTCAAACAGGTGGTATAACTCACCTTTAACACAGACCGTGCACTCAACAAGAGTGATTTGTGAATTTCATAGATGTGGGGTGGTGAGGCAGGTTGAGTAAAGGGAATCAGAAGAGAGAACCCAAACTGTTTTCATTGCTGACTCCTTCAGAACTGTCTTTCTTTCTCTCTTCTACACAGTGAGGCAGTCCCAGAGAAAACACATTAATGCAGCTCATCAGATCATCCATGGGAATACAGAGACAGCAGTAAGACAGCTCTTTTCCACGGAGCTTCAGCAGGCACTGGGTGCAGAGTTTCCTCTAACACAATATTCAGGTTTTTCTGCAACAGCTGCAAAACAAGAAGCTCTTGAGGTTCCGGATAATCAAATCCAGCCTGAAATGTCACTTGAAGAAAGCTATCATGCTGAATCTTCCGGGCCTCCACTCAATGAGGAGAGCAAAAAGAAATAAGGTATGTTTAGAACTATGATCCTCACTAAGTAGTATATCCCACCCAAGTAAAGATGATGAAAACAGATGCATGGCATTGAAATGCTGAGTGATCCTCAGTTTTGAAAGCAACCACATTTGGCACTTAGGAAATCATCTTCACTGCCAAACCTAAGGGCTCCCAGTTAATTGTGTATCTCCATCTCCCCTCTCATTCTACCAATCTCTCTTTCTTTGCAACTGGTGACCCTCAGCAGGGTGTCTCCAGCTTTGCCTTGCTGTTTGCTTTAGTGACGGTTTGGTTGTTTTGATCTCAGTCACTAGAGAGGAGGCTTTTGGGGAGGCGGGATGGTCAGAAGACCTGACACTTATATGGATTTGGGGGAGAGGAATGGGACAGTAAAGCTATTGGGTTCAACCCCCTGCTTAACACAAAACTCCAACTTAAAAGCATCCCCAGCAGACCAATGGCTTGATAATCTGCTCCAGAATTTTCCAGGAGACTGATATCACTAGTAGTTCCTACTGGACTGTAGTTCCTAGATTCTTCATTGTTATATCTTCTGTACACTCTGAAGTGTCTGATCCTGCCTAATCTTGGAAGCTAAGCAGGGTTGGGCCTGGTTGAAACCTGGATGGGTGACTTAAATGTTGTGCTTTGGTTACTGGTAGTTTAGTTGTTGTTAGTTGCGAAGTTGTGTCCGACCCATTGTGACCCCATGGACAACATTCCTTCAGGCCTTCCTGTCCTCCACCATCTCTCGGAGTCCACCTAAGCTCACACAAACTGCCTCAGTGACTCCATCTAGTCACCTCATTCTCTGCCATCCCCTTCTTCTTTTGCCATCTGTTGTTCCCAGCATTAGACTCTTCTCTAGGGAGTCCTTCCTTCTCATTAGGTGGCCATAGTATTTGAGTTTCATCTTCAGTATCTGGTCTTCTAAAGAGCAGTCAGGGTTGATCTCCTCTAGGACCGGTTTGATCGCCTTGCAGTCCAAGGGACTCGCAAGAGTCTTCTCCAGCACCACAATTCAAAGCCCTCAATTCTTCGGCGCTCAGTCCAACTTTCACAGCCATACGTTGCAACTGGGAAAACCATAGCCTTGACTATACACACTTTTGTTGGCAGAGTGATGTCTCTGCTTTTTAGTATGCTGTCTAGATTTGCCATAGCTTTCCTCCCCAGGGGCAAGCATCTTTTAATTTCTTGGCTGCAGTCCCTGTCTGTGGTGATCTTGGAGCCCAGGAAAATAAAATCTGTCACTACCTCCATTTCTTCCCCATCTATTTGCCAGGAAGTGAGAGGACTGGACGTCATGATCTTAGTTTTCTTAATGTTGAGTTTCAAGCCAATTTTTGTGCTCTTCTCCTTCACCCGCATCAAGAGGCTCTTTAGTTCCTCTTCACTTTCTGCCATTAGAGTGGTATCATCTGCATATCTGAGGTTGTTGATATTTCTCCCAGCAATCTTAATTCCAACTGGTGATTCATCTAGCCCCGCCTTTCTCATGATGTGCTCTGCATATAAGTTTAAATAGGCAGGGCGACAGTATACAGCCTTGCCAAACTCCTTTCTCAATTTTGAACCAATCCGTGGTTCCGTGTCCAGTTCTCACTGTTGCTTCTTGACCCGCATACAGGTTTCTCAAGAGACAAATAAGATGGTCTGGTACTTCCATCTCTAAGAACTTGCCACAATTTGTTGTGATCCACAAAATCAAAGGCTTTAGCATAGTCAATGAAGCAGAAGTAGATGTTTTTCTTGAACTCCCTAGCTTTTCTTCATGATCCAACGTATGTAGGCAATTTGATCTCTAGTTCCTGTGCCTCTTCGAAATCCTGCCTGTACTTCTGGTAGTTCTTGGTCCTCAGTTCAGGCACTCTGTCTATTAGATCTAATTCCTTAAATCTATTTGTCATCTCTATTGTATATTCATCAGGGATATGATTTAGGTCATACCTTTGTGGCCTAGTGCTTTTCCCTACTTTCTTCAATTTAAGCCTAAATTTTGCAATGAGAAGCTCATGATCTGAGCCACAGTCAGCTCCTGGTCTAGTTTTTTTGACTGTATAGAGCTTCTCCATCTTTGGCTGCAGAGGACATAGTCAATCTGATTTCTGTGTTGACCGTCTGGTGATGTCCATGTGTAGAGTCGCCTCTTTGGTTGTTGGAAAAGAGTGTTTGCTATGACCATCGTATTCTCTTGACAAAATTCTACCAGCCTGTGCCCTGCTTCATTTTGTACTCCAAGGCCAAACTTGCCTGTTATTCCGGTTATCTTTTGGCTTCCTACTTTAGCATTCCTTCATCATCCTCCATGATGATAAGGACCTCATTTTTTGGTGTTAATTCTAGAAGGTGTTGTACGCCTTCATAGAACTGGTCAACTTCAGCCTCTTCAGCACCAGTGGTTGGGGCATAGACTTGGACTACTGTGATGTTGAATGGTTTGCCTTGGATTCGAACTGAGATCATTCTGTCATTTTGGAGATTGAATCTCAGTACTGCTTTTCCTACTCTTTTATTGACTATGAAGGCTACTTCATTTCTTCTGAGGGATTCTTGCCCACAGTAGTATACCTGATGGTCATCTGAATTAAATTCACCCATTCCTGTCCATTTTAGTTCACTGATTCCTAAGATGTCGATGTTCAGTCTTGTCATCTCTTGTTTGACCACATCCAGCTTGCCTTGATTCATGGATCTTACATTCCAGGTTCCTATGGAGTACAGATCTTTGCAGCATCGGACTCTCCTTTCACCACCAGATACATCAGCAACTGAGTGTCCTTTCGGCTTTGATCCAGTCGCTTCATTCTTTCTGGCGCTAGTACTAGCCCTCTGCTCTTCCCCAGTAGCATATTGGACACCTTCCGACCTGAGGGACTTATCTTCCGGTGTCATATCTTTTTGCCTTTTGATATTGTCCATGGGGTTTTCATGGCAAAGATTCTGGAGTGGGTTGCCATTTCTTTCCCCAGTGGAAGGAAGCTCTCTGCTATGACCTGTCCGTCTTGGGTGACCCTACACGGCATAGCTCACAGCTTCATTGAGCTACGCAAGCCCCTTCGCCATGACAAGGCAGTGATCCATGAAGTAGTCTTTTGCTATGCGGTAGCAATTGCCATTCTTTTGGACCACATGATCCCTTTAACAGGCAGCTCATAACAACAACTGACAGATCAGTGAGCAGAATGGGAAGAAAGTGCAGGGTGACCCCACCCTGATACATGTTTACTTGGATGTCCTATTTACTTCAGTTGTGCTTAGTTTTATGTAAACTATGCATAGGATTACAGCCATAGTCTCCATAGTTTTAAGGCACAAATCTTCCACAAGGCGATGCAGTGAATTAATGTAACAGAATGGGAAGAGGCAAGCTTTGGCATTCTCAGACATCTCTGCATTCTCTGATTTCTTTTCATTCTGAAGTTACCTGTGTTCCTTTGAATATGGGAAAGATAGGAAACCTTTGATGTATCCAGTTTAACTATGTGTTGATAGGTAGACCTTGGT